AGATTGGTTAGATATCTATAAATATATAAAACCTACTTTAAGAGACACACAGTTCACTTAAGTCATGAATAGAGCTAGCCGTAAATAGTTCCTACATAATAGTACCTCTGGTCCTAATTATCAGAGCTAGTTAACTAATTTGAGGAGATTAAGGAAAGAAGTTAAGTTAGTTATTTGTAATGAATATGTGTTGTCTTTCCTAAAATATCCTTGCTAATCAAGTGTATTGGCTAGAACTATCATTATTAGAAGGACTACCTTGAAAAAAAATACATAAATATGAGAGACAAAATATATTGAAGTTTTATATTTAAAACCAAAATAAAAATTAAATAAGGCCTTATATTAAGGATTAGAGGTAGTAACTTTTGTCATGACCTATACAACTAAGGTCTATTTTGGGTCATTTGGTATCAAATCAACAGCAGAGCAAATATAATTGCCTCAAAAGTTAAGACCATCCAATGCATTTTCATTGCGAGAGAACTGTTGCTTTCAGAAATCGATTTGTAAGATGCATGAGTGATAGATGAGAAGCTCATGTATGACGTTAGCTTATGATGAACTATTATTTGCGTGTGTATGCAATAACCACTAACTACTCCTTCTTTAGACATTAAAAAGTTATATGGGCATGAGAAGAGCCCTGAGGACAGCATTAAAACTCTTTCAAAAAGTCTATAGTGTAAGAAGTTTAGTCATACACATATGGAAGATGTCATGCACGTGACTCATATTGAGAGAGAAGTCTAAAATTTTCCTCTCTTTTTCCTCACAAATGGATGCATATATATGGTTACGAACATTGAATTTTGTGAAGCTATAGTGTGAAATCAAACCACGCTAATGTGCTAAAAGTTAAGAATCTCATGTTGCAGGTGTATCCACCGTGTGTTCCAGGGTTAGTGCATGAACCTTATTTCTGTGGACCTACCGATTTGAACTTGTGGGAAGCTTTTTTTGAGCGCATGTCTTAAGTCAGCAACAATAACTGTGCCAAGTGAAAAACTTTTTTTTAATGATTAAAATGTTAGAAACTGGGAATCGTCATGCTTAATTAATCAAACGCGCTTATGTGTGGGTGGGCATGGCATTTGTATACATGTGGATTTTTTAATTTGGTGAGATCCAAGAGAGCATCCAACATACATATACTTCTTTGGTCCTATTTATATAACAGAAAGAGAAGATATTTTTTGTCCTATTTATATGAAATTGAAAGAAATTTTTTATATGGATATATAATTTTACTTTTACCTCTTATTTATTATTGTGTTGACTTTGTTTACATGATATATAATATATATTAAATAGTTATTAAATTTTAAATAAAAATTAATAAAGTTTAAGATTTTTTTATTCGGAGTATTTTATAAGAGCAGGAGAGTATTGTTCAATTCATCCAACGTGTTTCAGCTAAGCTCGATTATATGCCGCCCATCAATGATTCTTTGTGCCCAGAGTCTTCCATTGATTAGACATCACTCGCCTGTAGCACTCATCGATCTTGTGTTCAGCATATGATTCATATATTCACAATGTGTTTCAGATCAAAAAAAAAATATATTCACAATGTGTGCATCGGTATTGATGTGTGCGCGCGTGTCTGCTTCGATCTACTGCCTTTGTAAGAGCAGGACTGTTTCTTTGAAGTATACTTGTGTGAGCATCTTCAAATGTCTTAAAGAAAAATTATATTTATCGCTTATGACGTGCCAAGAAATTTTTTTTTTAAAAAAAAACAGTTTCATGAAGACCATAAAAAACACGCCCAAAAATAAGACAGAGTAAAGTTAATTGCTCAAAATCTGAGATTAGTCACGATGCTATTTAAAAAATGTTATTTTTTTAATATTGGTATTTATTTATTTTTTGGCTAAGCGCAAGTATCCTCTAGTTTGTTTGAATCACTGTCAGATAATTTCTAATGAGATCCGAATCTTAATTCATCATATTATAGGGGCTAGCTCTTTTTATTAGACTCAAATTCTTATCAGTATATTTGTATTTTATTATTGATAAATGAGGTCTTGAAATTGAGTAAAAGCTATCCGTCTCGGCAAAAGATTTAAAAAAAAAAGGGTAAAAACTATCCGGTTTGGACGTTTGGTGTTTATTGTTCACTATTAAAGAAAGTATTATTAAGTGCATAAAAAAAAAGAAAATCTTATTAAAAATGAGTAATAAAAATAATATGATATAAGAAGTTATTATGCACTAATATCATTCTACTTTTTCCCCTTAAATCCAAAATTACTATCATCAACTCTCAATTATTTTCTTAAAAACATGTCAAGCAACTTGAAATTACGTGAATTATATTATTGTCATCCAAGTTTACGCACAAACACTACATATTTCATGATGTGACAGTGTTAAAAACAGACATTAAGAATTATTAATATGATGAAATATTGTTTTTACATATAGTGTGCTCAAAGTATGTATGCCAAAGTAACATGCTTAATATTCAATTCGTAAAACATATCTTAAAGCAATGCTCCTAACTAACAATTATGTGTAACACCAAAGTTTGGTTGTAAAGCGAACATGTGTTGCTCAAACTAGTTAATTCTAATGATTGAAGAACATATAGATTATATTCTCACTTCAATCACACGTCATGGATAGCATTCATATGTAGGTCAAAAAAATGTGTGGGAAAGGAACCTATATACAAACATATACATACATACATATATATATATATAAACACTGATATTTGGGTCCCCACATGCCCCTTGTATGTTAATGATAATTAAAGTGGTCCTTAATTCTTAGCATTTATCTTATCTCATCCCATTTACTTTACATTTCTTTTATTAAAATTGTGTTATGCCGTGGTCCTCGTGGATCTACTTTAGTTGTTGCGAAAGAAAGAAAAGCGAGGAATTAATTAATTAAGCAGACTTGAACATTCACTGACCAAGACAACAGTATATATTTAGTCATTTAATTTTATATAAAGTTTTATTTTAACTCTGTGATTTTATGCTATAGCATAACTTTTCAGTCTTTTAACTGTAATGTCACAAATAACGAATTCTAATATTGAAATTTCAAAGATTGACAAAATATTATAAAAAAACTGTCATACATAAGTTAATTTTTCAGTATTATAACTAAGGTTGTTTGGATTAGAAAATTGGAAAGAGACTTTATAAAATTAAAGAATATAATCAAACTGAAATCTTATATAAAACCAAAGCACACAATATGCACTTTTAGCCTGTAATTAAATTATGTTGGCTTTTCCCCCCTGGTCCGCTTCTTAGATTACTTTAGATCAAATAATCCACCCACAAAATCTCGTTTGACGCAAAAGAAAAAACAAATAAATAAAAAAAGCACTAAAGATCTGGTGCCACATTTCGAAGCCCAACTACCAAATATCCTCAATCATGACGTATACACTATTATTTCCTGATTTCTGTGCCTATGTCGGTGTGTTTTCTTTTTGTGGGGAAACTGCTGAAACCTAATTGAGACAATTTAATTGCCTAAATAAGAATAATTCTTTTGAATGTAAAACATATTTTTGTATCTGTACGAAGTACGAACTCAAAGCTGAAATATCGTGGCTAATTAAGTGACTATGGGGGTGTTTGGGAAACCTAAAACCATGGTTTCAGAAGCACTTTTCCGCAAAACGAGGTAATCTTCTCCACATATTTATTTCGTAATCCGTAAAAACACTTCTGAAACCATGGTTTGGTTTCTATCCAAACACCTCCTATATCTCTTATAAAGAACCAATTTCTATTAGTTGCAGCGGACATCGTACAATTGCTTTTGCCATGTACAAAATGCTGAGTTTAAGTAAATTAAAGTTCGTGATTCGTATGTAATTAAAAATGTCAGATTTGTGGAAATTAAGGGAATCATAAATGGTGTCATGGGAGAAGAGGCAAGAGTTTAATTAAATGATGAAGGGGATTATCTGGGGAGACAGTTCCGTTCCGTTTGCAGATGGCGTTTTATTCCTTGAGATTAATTGGATATACCTTGATATATTGGATATTCATAATTTTTTTTGTAATTAATTGATGAATATTAACTGTATACATTTATTTACATGAAAAAGGAGTAGCACAAATTCTATCATAAATATGAGATATGTGAGCATAATCTGATGGCTTAGGGAAAGAAAGAAATTGAGAAAGTGAATAGAGCAGCACAAGAGAAGGAAAGGGACCTATTAATGGTAGCAACTGGCAAATCCTCAGTGATGATTCCTGAAAGAGCTTCAAGGACACCACGTGATTCACAAGGACACATCCTCGTCAGCATCTTAAAAACCCACATAAATACTCCACCTTTTTAATTACCCTTTCTTACTGCTACCTTATCACAATCATCACATAATTCTTCACCTGCATCATAATGTTAACCTATTTTATTTAACCTAACACCAAAATTATAATTACGTGCCGCCTGCAATATTCCAAGCCAAAAGTGAGTTTTGGCGACGATCACCAGAACAGAAAGAAGCTTCATTTTTTAGTTTCCATGAAATATGGGGCTCTGCTCTGCTCGTTGCTCCTCATGTTTGCCTGTTCATAGGAAGATCAGAGCCTCGTATGCGACCAGTTTAAGGGTAAAGCAGCATCCACATACCTTTGATTCGCTGTTTCCACATGCTTACGCTACACCCCGGCAGTTATATTATCGTTGTCGAGGCGGGTGGGGTCAAAATCGCAGACCCATCAAACAATTAATTACTGTCAGAAAGAGAAAGGAGGGTTTTCTGATGCATTTATCACATGCCTGAAAACGAAAGCCCTTTCTTTCAGCTCCAGAAGCTGCGAGTTTTTGACCCTACAAGGTCCTCTTTTTTTTTTTTGCTCAATTCCATGTTACCAAACATAAAAAGGAAACTCTGTTTCACGAGGATCAAGGATTTCACCTTCTTCAAGACATTTAACCCCCATATGAAGTGCCAACATATTCAAACACAAATCCAGAATGACGAACAAACCGTCGTCACTGATCATATCTAAAGAAATTTCATGCATTGATCAAATTTATGATAATATATACAAACACAATCTAGTTTGACAATATCGACACTAAATTACTCTATTTTCATTTCATCGAGGTACCTATCCCTGCCCACACTTGATTTGAATGACGTCCCCTGGCTCAAATCCGGCTTCCCAAATTAAATTAAATAACCTCAAGATTTAAACCAAGCTACCAAAAAACTAAAGCTACCGGAAACACTAGGACAGTAGTATGCTACAGAGTTTCTGGCGGGGAAGACTCAAAAGTATTCCATAGCCCAACACCACAAGGAATAGCCTTATATTCCCATTGTTAAGGACCTATCGGACATCGCCAACTTTGGACGACAGTGCTGAACAGAGTTGCTCCTGCGTGTAGAATTGACCCCCCATCCTCACCGTTGCTTGTTGGATCATCAAATCATTCATCACCGAGACGCTCGCGTGGCTCACATCCAGGTCTAGCTCCTTCAATGCCGCCATCAACCTTGCTGCCGGGTGGTTCTTCCGGCTGCATTGAATCCGAATCATCGCGTCCCAACCTATGATCTTCACGTCGATATCCAAATCAGTAATCTTGCCAGCATGATGATTGGGCGGCTTTGGTTCTTTCTCCCGTGGAGGTGGCGCTGAACCTTTGTGGGCCAGCTCGAGTTCCTTCTTCACAGAATCCAATTGGTTCTGCAATTCGTTCTTGTCTGATTCCGTTCTCTGAAGCTTCGACTTGAGCTCAGAGATATAAGATATGGCATCACCCAGAAGGGATGCTTTATCCATCTTTGAAACGTTTGGAACCACAGCACGAAGCGCATAGAACCGTTGATTGAGCTTCTCTCTCCTCTGCCTTTCAGCTTCAACGTGATTCAGAGGCTCCTCTCTGCCATTTGCGGGCTTTCGTCCTCTCTTCCGAGGTTTTTTCTCTGGTTCGACCACCTTACTATCTACCTCCTTCATCGCAGAAGCTTCGAGATCGGAATGATCAGAATCGCCGCCGCAGACGGTCTTCACATTTGAAGCGGGCAAAACCACACCTGAAGTGAAAGAAAGCATGCCTTCGTCATTGCTACCCTTAGACGTAGGCGACCTCCTCCTCTTCTCCTCAGCATTGAATTGACATTGACCTGAAAGTAAATTTCCATTACCATTATGAGCGTTTCTCTTGCTCTCCCCGAAATTCAAAATCTCACCCGAGTCCGTCTTCATGGAATGCGAATTACCGTTTTTCACGCCGTTTCCGTCCAATCCATAGTCCGAAAAGTTCAACTCCCGTGAAAAGCAACCCTGGTTCAGCGAATGACGCTGCTGTTGCCGTTGTTGTTGGTGGCTATGGTGAGCGTTTGGGATATGGATGGAACTTGGGGTCTCAGCTAAAGTCGTGGAACCTCTTGTGTCTAACTGCATCGGCTTCGGATTATTGTTATGACTGTTGGTAGAACTGGGCACTGAATTGGGCGCAACAGTAGTCACCGAATCCCTAATTTCAATTGCAGAAGGATCGTTGAGCCAGAGCGAAGAAGGGTCGTTCTCACCCTGATCAGCCGCAGCTGAAGCATTTGACCCCCATAAAAAACTCCCTTCGGCGCCACTGAAATTGAACAAATCCCTGACCATATTCATCAGATCAGAGTTTTGAAATATCAGCTCCGAGGAGCCCAGTTCGACCACCCCACTCGCCGACGGTATACAAACCAAAGTCTGAAGCCCGAACAATTGACCCTGCCTCGCCCTCTCGCATGTTGAAGCTGCCAGCCGGTCGGAACCTGCGACCCAAACAGGGCTCGAACTGAGGAACGCCTGCCCCGGCAATCCGCCGCCGTTGTAAAACGACTGAGTCATCGAAACCAAAAAGAACCACTCGGTATCTGTTACTTCTTCGTCTACAGCGTCATCTGGGGAGGAGGAGGACCCAGAGATGAGCGAATTAAGCTCGCGAAGAACCTTTTTCCGGTGCTCCTGCTCCGCCGCGGAAGACGCCGTCGTTTTGGCCTTCCCCTTTCCTTTTACCTCCTCGCCTTTGTAGTAGCCATCACCCCAACCCAACACGGAAGCTCCCGAGTGATCACAAGAAGATTGCCAGAAGATAGCGTAGGTCCAGCTCTCGCTGGCTTTTTCAATCAGCGCCTGGAGACGTTGCTGGAGAGTCTCCTGATTGAAGATGCAAACCGAAAGATGGTTTTGAGAGAAAGCTTTGGTGGGGTCAGTTCCAGTGGTAGTGGTCGTTGAGGCAGAGGATTGCTGAGGAGGCCAGAGAGAAGATAGATCGGAACCAATGAAAGCGTCCATGACGGAGGAGTTATCGTCGGTCCAAATATTCATCGTTACCAGCGATCGACACTGTGTCCTTCCATGCACCAGGCGCAAGCACTGAGCTTGAAGATAAACAAGAAGCACGAAGCGTTACCGAAGGAGAATGAAGGGGCTGAGGGGGTGGGTGGTGGCGATGGAGGGAGAGGAGAGGGAGAGGAATACGTTAAATACGAAGAACGCATTTGGATTTGAGATTTATTTGAAGCGCATTTGGGTTGAATTTTAGGCGTCGGAGGGTAGAAAAGGAAAGCTGGGGTTTCTGAAGAAAAGGGAAAGGCGATTTAATCGAAGGGTTCGGGAAAACGGCGTCGTTAGAGCGTGGTAAGAGTTGAGGTGACTTGAGTGGACAGTGTCTGGCCATGGCACGTTGAAGTTAGAGGACCTTGTCAATTACGCCGCAACCCGCGAGCGTGTGAGTTGGGACCCAAAGAGAGTTTCATATTGCTGCTTGAGTGACACGTGTCATTTGACGTTGGGCACCGGTAAATAAAAATTGAATCAATTAAAAAAAATACTAATGCCTACATTTAGAAAAAAAATTAACATATTTATTTTATAAAAGTTAATCTATGCACTGCATAAAAAGAAAAGTAATAGAGGCCAGATTGAACTTTTTTAAAAGAAAATATTATCTAATTTTGCTTACATACAAGTATTAATTTTTAAAATAAATGTGTTTAAAAAAATAATTATATCAAATTTTTATTTCTATTATAGTATTAAGTTTCTTAGGTATGTGTGGTCATGGGTTCTTTATTCATGCGGATTTATAGTTCAATAATGATATTTTTTGATAAAATTCAATAATAATACTTTAAATATAAGATACATCACCATGTATAGTTAACGAATAATGTAATAAAATTGATCTAAGTATTGTTTTTAACAAAATATTAAGGTATTCAGCAATCAGCGGCGATTTAAAAATTTAAAATAAAAATAAATATTGAGATAAATTTAAATATACACACAAGCACGCCAAATATTTACAAAAAAGTAAAATATGATTATTATCTTCATATGGCTTCTCCTCACTTTAATTTGAAAACGTTATTTGGTTTATTACTTTTAATTTCTTTTCTCCATTTAGCCTCCATTTACATAAAATGCAACGCTTAACAAGGTTTTTTTTGGGAAAAAAAAAGCGCGGGAGAAGATTGTTCGTCACGAAATTTTCCACGCAGCCGGTCTTGCTATTTGAGTCAAAGAACCACTACAGTGATAATACAAAGAAAGTTACACATGAAGCAATCAACAGTGATTTACAAGAACGACTAAACAAGGTGAAATAAAATTTTTCTTCAAATGCCCTGTTTATATTTTGCCTCTTCAAGTGTTAAAATTTGTCTTTAATAATCTGGAAAATCTCCTCATTCTGTTCAAAATTGCGGAATTTTTTGTGAATTCGTGGATGACACTCAAGGAATTTTGTTCAAGTCATGCTTTTTATATTTATTTTAATTTTGATTCAAACATTATTTTTCATAGTGGTTTGCGTTGATTTTTTCCTTTCCTCTTTTTGTGTTTCTTTTTTTTTTTCCAGCTTATCTTTAAGTAATGGATACTAATATGGTTCCCAAAGTTGCTCACGAATTTAATAATATAGAAGAGGCATGGTAATATTGGATTAGCTAGCGGGAAAGAATGGGATTTGTTGTTAGGAAGAAAAAAACACTCTAATGAAAATAGGAAAAATAGTTTTATGACATATTACAGATTTGTTTGTCATAAGAAAAGAGTGAGAAAACTAGATTAAAAAAACATTTCAAAACTAATAAGCCTTGACATGAGACGAGAATGGAATGTGAAGTCAGAATAATCATTAAAAAAATAAACAAAACAAATAAAATTACTATGTTTTGGAGATTGCTAAAGATGGGATTAAGAAAAAAGAAACTTTTAATTTAATGATTAAATATGCAGGAAGAGGACTAATTCGGGGCATGCCAAAGAAGATGTAGAGAGTTATTTAACAGCAAGAAAGAAACGCTCAAATGGATTGGGAAATAAGGCTGTAATTTTTTTTTTTAAGAAAATGTTTTTTAACAAATAAAAAAATATTAAAAGCTGCGTTTTATGTAAATGGAGACTGAATGAATGCAGGTGAATAGAGGTGAGAAATTTCTTATTTACACGTTACTCATTGAATTTAAAATATAAGCATCAAATTTTTGGGAAAAAATTGATTTTTTTTTACCGCAAGCATCAAATTGGATTTGCCTGGTCATTTAATACTTTTTTTTTTATTTTTACTCCTGATTAATTATATGTCTCTCTTATTTTCTTTTTCGCCCATCCTCTCTCATTTTATTTTCACTCATTCTTCCTTTTACTTACCTTTTTCCATAAATAAAGGTGTTTTACAAAAATAAGTTACTTTTCGTTTTTTTTACATATTTAGTGTTTTTAATTAATTTGAATCAATCTTTTGAGTTGCATAGTTTAATTATTTGTTGCTTATATTTTGAACTGGGGGGATTATTATGCACTGTCAATTCATCAAGGGCAAAAAGTAAGTAAATGCATGGTTTATTTTTCATTAATTACATTATGCTAGCATGCAATCTAACACAAAATTGCAAATAATAATTGTGATATACTCTTATGGTCCTATTTATAAGTTACTTCCAACATGTTTCACATTGATCAAGAAAAACATTAAACTTCATTACTCATTTAAAAGCTAATAACTTTTTAATTTTATCTCTATTTAATATACATTATACTTCGTATAAATAAAATTAACACAATAATAAATTATGGGTAAAATTGTACATTCATATAAAATTTCTCTTGTTACCATATAAATAGGACCAAAAAAATACATTTTTCTCTACTTTATAAATAGAACAAAAGGAGTGAGGTTATAGTAATTTAGATTGTTGTTGAAATTATATGAGAAAGATAATTTGCTTGGAAAAGAACTGTTTTGTAAGTCATCATTATATTCTTATCAAGATATACCACCAACTACAGCAAGTATACAAGTTTTTCACCACCGAGAGATGGGCATATGATTTTTTACACAGCATGTTGTCATTCAAGAAATACTGAAAATTTGAAAATTGCTTGTGGTGGCACGAAATGTATTACAAGACATGCTAATCTCAAAATGCAGCCGAGTAACTCCCAAACAAATGAACTGATTCTTAAACCCCCTAAATACTGTAATTGCAATTGGCCAATTTTCGTTATGTCTCACATCTTCCATTTAAAAGTGACGCCAAAGGCTCATCATATTGTACAGAAGTGTTCAATTTGTCCCGTCTCGATTCTGATAAGTTTGAGACGGGATCAAAAAAATTTCAAAACAGGATGACTACAAGACAAGATAGTAACTGGGACGGGACTGGACACAGAACGGGATTGTCCCGTCCCGGATTTTTTTTTTTAAAAAAATTATTTATTAATAATTATTATTAGATTATCCAATTCACTTATTAAATACTAATAGTTATTTCTTTTAAACTGCAGTATTATCTCAACAAAATTTTCTTTCTCAATAAAATAATTCACAAAGCCATTATAAAATGTTTCTTTTATGGTATCTTTTTATAATATTCTTTTTACACCTTTTTATACTATGTAATTGAACTTTTTACAATTTTTTTTGGGAAAATTTCACTGTAGGACCGCAGAAGACAATTAATTTCAAAGAGCCCCCAAAACTTTCTGAAACTTCACTGCAGGACCAAGGGGGCAAATTGATATTAATTCCACAAAGAAAATGACGCTATTGCCCCTCATAATACTTATTGCAGGGTGACATGTAAATGGACTAATTTCAGTTGTAAATAAAGGTATGTATGTTGTAAATTGACTAGTCCCATTTGCAAATGAGTTCTCACACTTATTCACTTACAGGCACCTTTTTCAGGTGATTGAGGTGATATGTAAATGGACTAATTCTAATTGTAAATAAATGTATGTATGTTGCAAATTGACTAATTCCACTTGTAAATGGGCGCTCCCACACTTGTTCACTCACTGAGACCTTTTTCAGGTGAAGGAAGTGACATGTAAATGGACTAATTCCAGTTGTAAATAAATATATGTATGTTGCAAATTGTCTAGTCCCACTTGCAAATGGGCTGTTCCACACTTGTTCACCCAGACACATTCTTCAGGTGAAGAATGTAATATGTAAATGGACTAATTTTAATTGTAAATATATCTATACATGTTGTAAATTATCTAACCTCACTTGCAAATGGGTTCTCCCATACTTGTTCACATGAGGGGCAATAGGGTCATTTTCTTTGTGGAATTAATATCAGTTTGTCCCCTTGGTCCTGCAGTGAAATTTCAGAAAGTTTTGGGGGCTTTTTGAAATTAATTATCTTCTGCGGTCCTACAGTGAAATTTCCCCCTTTTTTTTTTATAATTTGTTTATCTTTAAGAGCCCAATAAAAAATAAATATTAGCACATGAAAAAAAATCATATAAAAATTATAGTGTTTTTTTTTTAAAAAAGAAAGAGAGGAAAAAAACATCATGTCCCGGATACAAGACAGAGATTCCGTGCTGTCCTGTTACTGTTTATCAGGACAATCTTCCATGTTAGCCCACCACCTTTATGCTCTTATCTGGATAAATCTCATTTCAGCTTTTCATTTAATACAACTAAACACACGCAAATACATAGCTTAACGCTAGATTTAAGTATGAGACATCATCTAAATGTGATGGGTTGTATTGCTAATGTGAACGGATTTTCCAGTGCTTGAACGCTGTCCCCCTCCCCCTGTTGACCATTTTTACGCCCTTTTTTGTTTCAAACAGTATCAATACATTTTATGTTGATGATTAGATTAGCATTGATAGATCCTGTACTTGGACGCTCCAAGTCAGTCACGTGTCCATAGTCGGGGTAGGGCCCAGGAACGAGCACGCGGGCACCGACCAGCAGATATCGCCTAGACGCCAAACATCGCCCAACGCGTCTCAACTAATCGCCACGCCCCTTCACCCACCTTTGGGTTTTTTTTTTTTTTAAAATATTTGAATGAAATTAAAACTATAATCTTAAAAATATTTTTATGGTATACAAAATAAACATATGAATGAATTTATTTTAATTTATAAAAAATGTTTTTCATGGTAACCAAACAACTTTTTTAAATTTTAGGTTTCAGATCTATTTAACATCTCAAAATATTTTTT